TGAGGGACCCCCCTTCCCCCCCCAAGTGCACAAATTTTTGTGCACTGGGCCTCTAGTCTACACTAATAAAAGAGAAACATGGTAATTAGTGTACAACCGCTACCCTTTTCATTGGCTAATCAGTGAGTATATGCAAATTAACTGTCAGCCAAGATGGCGGCCGGCAGCCAGGCAGCTGGAAGCTAACATGAGGCTTGCTTGCTGCGGACTCCAACATCCCCACCTGACTTGCCGGCTTCTGAGCTGGCAGTTTGAAACATTCTAACAAATATAGAAGCTAAACAAAACCCCAGAAGATCTCAGAGCTGGAGTTATACATTGTTTCGATTATAGAACCGAAACAAACCAGATACCTGCTCTCAGAGCTAGAACCAGAGCTAAAGCTGGCCCAGAATAATAAAAAAAAAAAGGAGCAGTTGGGAGCTTCAATCAACAACCACCAGCCTGAAAGCAGCCCTCAGCCCCTCAGCCAGACTGGCCAGGCACCCCAGTGGGGACCCCTACCTTGAAGGGTGTGTGACCAGCTGCAAACAGCCCTCAGCCCCTCACCCAGACTGGCCAGGCACCCGAGTGGGGACCCCCACCCTGATCCAGGACACCCTTCAGGGCAAACCAGCCGGCCCCCACCTGTGCACCAGGCCTCTATCCTATATAGTAAAAGGGTAATATGCCTCCCAGCACTGGGATCAGCGGAGCCGTGAGGCCTCCTGGCACCGGATCAGCGTGACAGGGTGCAGAGCCCAAACCCCCTGATCGCACTGTGGCTCTGTGTGTGACAGGGTGCAGTGCCCCAACCCCCACCCCCCCCCCCCCACAGGCCCTGCTCTGTGTGTGACAGGGTAGAGCCACAACCTCCCCATCGGCCCTGCCCTGAGTGTGACAGTGGAGGCGCCCCAAACCCCCTGATTGGCCCTACTCTGTGCGTGACAGGGGGGAGCTCCCCAACCCCCTGATGGACCCTGTTCTGTGCGTGACAGGGAGGAGCTCCTCAACCCCCTGATTGGCTCTGCTCTGTGCATAACAGGGGGGAGCTCCCCAACCCCCTGATGGGCCCTGCTCTGTGTATGACAGGGGGCAGCGCCCAACCCCCTGATGGTCCCTGCTCTGTGCGTGACAGGGGATGTCGCCGCAACCTCCCCATCAACCCTGCCTTGAGTGTGATAGGGGGTGGTGCCCCAACCCCCCAATCAGCCCTACCCTGAGCGTGACTGAGGGTGGCATAACAACCTCCCAATCTGCCCTGCTCTGTGCATGACAGGGGGCAGCGCCCCAACTCCCCAATCAGCCCTGCTCTGAGCCCGACCAGGGGCTGCACCTAGGGATTGGGCCTGCCCTCTGCCACCCGGGAGCAGGCCTAAGCCAGCAGGTTGTTATCTCCCGAGGGGTCCCAGACTGCGAGAAGGCACAGGCCGGGCTGAGGGCCCCCCTCCCCCCCGAGTGCACAAATTTTTGTGCACTGGGCCTCTAGTCTTTTATAAAAAAATAAAAGCATAATATGCTAATTAGACCAGACAGCCTTACAATCTTCTGGACGTCATTCCGGACATCCTTCTGGACGAAACCATTGCGGCAGGGGCAGAGGCAGAGGCAGTTAGGGGTGATCAGGCAGGCCAGGCAAGTGGTTAGGTGCAATCAGACAGGCAGGCAGAGTGGTTAGGGGCGATCAGGCAGGCAGACAGGCAGGCAAGCGGTTAGGAGCCAGCGGTCCCGGATTGTGAGAGAGATGTCCCGGATTGCGAGAGGGTGCAGGCCAGGCTGAATGACTACCCCCCAACGCCCCCACGAATTTCATATACTGGGTCTCTAGGCTTTTATAAAAATTAAATACAACAACTGGGACTCAATGAATCATCCAAATGAACCTGTGCTTGTTCCCTCGCTGCTGTTCAGACCTGCTCTGCTGGGGCGTCTCTGGCCCTCCGGTGAAGCCACTGGCAAACCCATCACTCTCATGGTCTTTTAAAAAACATTTTATTTTTAAATTAAATTTATTGTGGTGACTTTGGTTAATAAAATGTAGGTTTCATTTTCTGGGTCATTTTAAAAAATTGACTATTTTTTAGAGCAGTTTTAGGTTCCCAGCAAAATTAAAGACACAGTACAGTTCCCATATGGCCCTGTCCCCACACGTGCACAGCCTCCCCGCTATCAGCATCCCAGTCCATGCACACAGTCAGCCAAGGACTCACTTCACCGTTGGTCTGGTTTTATGGAATTTATTTTTTTCCACCTCCATCCCCTCGCTGCACTTCCTACCCGATGCCCATCGGTATCCTCTTAATATAGTTAATGCATATGTCCTTTCAATCTACTTTCCATACATGTATTTACATTTGTGCGGGTCCTTGAAAACACATAGAAGTGATTCATGTGCTTTATTTTATAGGTATTTCCCTCTGACCTTCAGGGAATGACTCTCAAAGCCACACTTTTCCATAAAAAATGTGCACTCCCATGGAAAACTGTATCGTCTCTAGCACATTCTTCCTGGTTCTTTGATTCTGATTCAATGACAACTATTTTATAACCAGAGGCCCAGTGGGTGAAATTCATGCACGGGAGGCAAGGGGTCCCTCAGCCCGACCTGCTCAACTATCAATCTGGGAGCCCATGGGGGATGTCAGGCCTAAACCGGAGTCGGACATCCCTCTTGCAATCCGGGAAGTTGCATGCACCTGTGACCATACTTTTCATGCAGGTGTAAGGCATCTTGCTGTTGTATGGGCAGCTACATTTTTTAGCCCTGATTATAAAAAGCAGTACATAACATGATCGTTCTGAGGCAGTAGTGCCATTTTTCCCATCTTATGGGTGGAAAACTGGAGCAAGAGAAGTTAAGTAATTGGCTTTGTCACACAGTTATAAGGGTCAGAATCAGGGCTGACCACAAAATGTGCAAGCCAGAGTCCATGCATGTCATCACTGCATCATCCTGTTTCTTCAGTGTGAGAGAAGCTTTGCCAGGTTTGAATTTTTAGATCTAAGAGACAGTCCCCAATATAGAGGGTAAGGTCCCTAGGCCTGGTCAGCAATCAGGGCAATCTGTGGGGC